TTTGTAACTTGGATCGGAAGTGGTGTTAAAATTATGAGAAAGGCGAAGTTGTCGGTACACGTGGCCGACGTGAAAAGAATTATCCAGGTGGGATTTTCTAACACGTTGAAGTTATAATAACTAGACACAGCCAATGTGAAGCATGTGAAACTTATATTTCTATTTAATGTGGAATGAACCATAACATCGAATTGTTGCAAAAACCTATTTAACAAATTATCTCATATTATCCTTTTTCAACAATTCTTCACTTAGTAGGCTTACGCAATTGAAATCAATGCTCACGATAAATCGGAATTCAATAAGGAAGAGATCCTCACCAAACTCCGAAAAGCTGGAGGCGCTAATTACGACAGAGGAGCTCATGATTATTAAAAGGTTTCGAAGACAACTTATACGGCGACAATGATATTAGACTAAAACAAGCCCGCGCAAGACATCACGAGTATTGAAACCATAATAACCATTATCAAAATTCAAGAAGCAACCATTTATTTCACCATTCGCAGGTGCCACGGATGACGTCACTGCTCATTTCGTCCTAAATTACAGGAACAAAGAATGTTAATTATTTTCCTCCTGAAAACCAATGATAACAATAAAAAATTTCCAGTAACAGGCTGTATTGTGTTTATACTTATGACAGCTTATTGGTTTGCTGCTGCAGTGCTTGCTGAATTACAAGGAGTGAACAAAGTATGTGCGTTAAAAATATACTGTATATATTTTCCTTATCATTTCAATACGTAAGTAAATCTAGACATGTATGAAGTAAAAATCAGCGCCTAGAAATATCATTAATAGGCGCAGCCCTAATCTCAGAAAGATCTATCGATGCATCCCGTTCTTGATCAAGCTCCCCAATTAAAACTCTGCGAAATGAAGGTTCGTTGAATTAGATTTGATAACGTATTTTTAGTTTACATGCAGGTTGGAAATAAAGTGCTGGCGTCCCGATTTTTTTTTTAAACAAAACAAAAAACAAACAAGATCTCACATATTATCCCCTCGTATTATGTACAATCCGAGATTCATCTTTTCCACTCCTTCGGTTTCCGAATATACCCGTTCGTGACAGTTAGAGAGGATCACGTTTATGGTCTGATCGAACCCTTTAAGCAATCCCTTTTCCAAAGTAGAGTGTTAGAAAAATATATAAGTACAAGTAGTTGTTCTTCAAATTTCAGGATAAGATTTCTCACTTAATGAGTAAAATGAATACCACTATGACACGTCCATCCGAAGTGATGATTTCAACTGTTACTGTAATATGGGCACAAAGATGTAAATCCGAATGATGGAGTGAATTAAGGAATGTGAACCGTGTAAGCCAGAAATTCTTGCCAATCGTATTGTGAACAATAAATGCGTTCGGGGAGACGATACGACCACAAATGATGCATGCGAACAATTATTGATTAATCGTATAACACAATTGTTTATAAAGTCTCGATATTTTTTTTTTTTTTTTTTGATCAAGAACTTTCGAGAAAAAGGATACAATCCACATATTTTTGCAATTCCGCCATGAGGATAAATTTTTTTACTATAATTGATCCGTGTTCTCTTGAGAATGCGAGTTTAAAGGAAATCGTGATCGGTTTCTTAGTAAAAATAACGAAACGAGACTAGTGCCGTTCCGAAGAAGAAAGGTTACTCCGAAAAAGGGTATCGTTTTTCTGACAGCAGTTTGGCAAAGGGAAAAATAACGGAGGACTAACTTTCTATTGGTGTTCTGAATATCCTTTGTATCGCGTTTCTACGCGTTCATAGAAGTATCTAAAGCCTACAAAAAGGAAGGCCTATTACTGGGAACCCGACGAGATTATGATTATACCTGATTTCATATTTTGACTGTGTTACTGACCCAAATTTACACGTGACTAATATAAATTCATTAGTTTATTATTAATATTATTATTTAAATCCTATGTGTGTATATACTGTATATATATACTGTATACTGTATATGCTAATATTTACATCCGAACTTTATAAGTCATTGTCATCAAAATCCGAAAGAAATTCTATTTCGTGAGAACAAAGATTAGGATCCTGCATTCGTGGTTTACGTAGATGGAGTTTATGAGAGTATAGTTTCACCATTCTCTCTTTCTCTGTAATCCATACATGATCTAGGGATCCATCATATGACTCCTCCTCCTCGTTTAAGCTTGAATTACCATTACTACTGTATTTCATACTTTTCGATACCCTCCTCACATCTCTCTCTTCGTCTTCGTCAGAAATGATTACAGGATCAGATGCACCGGAATAACCTAAAGGTGTTTTACTTCGTTTTTGCGGAATGTATTTATTGTTCAGCGATTGACCTCCACCATTCTTCATTAGATGCGACGTGGAATTTGATTCTATAATTCCGAAATCTGACGGCCGCTCTTCGCCATTGCAAGCTGCCATTTGCCCTCGATTTTTAAGAAAACTTTCAAAAAGGTCATCTTCTCCTGGTGTCTCAGCTATAGGAATTTATAAAACGAACGATTTTGGTAAATTCCATTTTCTGCAAACATGAGACTAATAATTTGCGTTTCTTACGTAGAGCATTCAATATATACTCTGCGATTCGCGAGGAATCATATGTTGCAGGTGTTGTAAAGCCTATGATAAATTTTGGAGAAAAAAATTATAAAATACGCATGGTTTAAATTACTTCTAAAAAAAATACTCCTGTCTACTTTGTTTTGAGTTTTGAGGTGTATTTGAAGAACTTGACTGTTGGGTTTTCGCGGATTCCTTTAAGGCACTTGTATTAATCTCTTTGGTGTTCATAGCTGGTAACGGGTTGATATTCATGGAATTGAAGGATCCAACTATTTCTTGTTCTTTTTCTTTTTCAGGTCCCATTTTATGTAACTGATTCAACAATTTAAATAATTTTCTTGATGCCTCCTTGCTTTTGTATCCGATCTTTATTTTTGATTGACAATATTAAAGTCTTATGTGGCTTACGCATCAATCGACGAACAACAAATTATGGTTTGTGAAACAGAAGGCATAGAATTTGACTGAATCACGTGAGTGGAGCAGTAATTACTTAATTCTATAGCTTCCTAGCTTAATTTTAATATTGTCAACGTGAAAAAAGATTCAGTCCCATAAATCTTATCCTCACCGATTCCATCGAATAGCTCAAAAAAAAAAAAAAAATCCAAGTGCATTGGCCATATTGATCATTGAACGCTTTTCCAAAATTATGCTGTGATTTGATGACATTTCGTTTTGTAATCTTCTACCCTTCCATATGGACGGTTGCGTCGTACAGATCAAAGAAAGAAAATTCCAGTTCCCTCTTCCGCGATATCTGGATCCTGAGAGATGTTTCGGAAGGCAATTCTTCAATAAGTCTTTTTAGCCAGCCTTTTTTGGCTTTCTTGCTAGACGATTTTTCGACTGAATCATTAGAACATTTTTTCTGCGCAGATTTGGGGTTGCAGAAGTCGTGGCCTCACCATCATCACTAAAATCTTGAAGAGAAAATGACGGATCACTATCGTTGGACACGCCACGTGAGATCCTCTATTGTCAAGGTTCTTTCGCACAAGTTCGATGGATCATATCGCCACAAACGGTTAAAACGAGCGATCTAGGCGGATCTTCTGTTAAAATGGGTGCATCACATTCTTCACATGGCCCATAATCTTGAATAGTTTCGATAGATTTAATCGACGAAAAATCTGACTCTTTAAGAATAATTAACGTATGCAATGCGTCTTGGTTGTACGTTGTAATGTGCGAAAAGACAAATTGCAGGAGTCAGCGGACTATATAATTATTTTTTTAAGAGATAATCCAAACATGGTTACTCAAAAATGTTTTGATGGGAAGATAATAATAAATGGTCACTTCGCACGTCGTACAGCCCCCGATATCGTACTGCGCACTTCAGGTAATCGATTTCACATGACGAAATTTCCGCCTCGCTCTCAATATCATTCCTGATACAAAGTCTCCCAGCCAGGAATTTGAAAGATTATTTTTGACATTGGGGTATATATATGACAAAATTCCAGACCAAATATTTTAATGTTAACACAGCTAGAGCAATTCCATTTATTATTTAACTACGCGCTTGTGTTTTATTTTCAAATTAAAATCTTAGGTTTCTAAACTGCTGGTTTCGGTGACGCTTCTAGCGGATTTTCGTCAGATGGTGAATATTTCTGTACTTTCCGCGACATCAACAATCATGCTATAAAAAGCAATAATTACTCGGATTCAATCATACCTTAAAAAAATATGTTTTCTCTATTATTTCGTCTACCACATACGCTTGATCCTTGCTATCCGGGATCGTGAAATTGGTGAGGATGTCAACGACATGCAATCCTCCTTCAACTCCGTGCATAGTGTATATTGTTGTTTCACGTTCTAAAATGACGACGAAATTTAATTAAATAAGAAACTAACACAACACGAACATTACGTACGGTAAACAAGTAAACCAAAACTTTGAAATGCATAAAAGTTGATCTTCTGATGCACCACGTGTTAGATGATGCTGACGTTGACATCTGCGTTACTAAGGTCTTCAATACGCGAATATCATCATCTCTGAAAATTATAAACCTTTAACCAATTTTTTCATATCCTCGCGATATCCAGTAATGTCCTCAGCCATAGCGTTCCCCACAACTTCTAAAAATCCGTAAATTTTTTAGAATCCCGTCATGCTTCGTCCCGAAATTTATCCGAGGATTTGGGCCTTTTGTTTCATTCCGATGTTTTTTACGTAATTTGCTCTCTATTTCTCCACTGAACAAATAATAAATCAAGAGTTTATTGTATGTGGTACAAGCGAAGCTAAGTACAATATAATAACGCAAATTTGGAATCTGATTTTATCATTCAAATCATCGAATGCTTTCGGAATTAGAGAATTAACGAATGCTTCCCTAAAAGCGATCTCCAACGTATTCGCATCACACAGTATATTAAAAGAAGAGTTGAACAAGCATATATTAAAGTGAAACATGAGAATTAATGGTGTTGTGTTCTATTATATTAGGCAATAGGATATACAGTAATGCTTACAATCTCCGATAGATATCTTGTACCCATAAATTCTCATAATGTTTTTTGAAATCAAACTCGCCTTCAAATGGCGATTCGAAAATAACCTTTATTGACGACGATCGAACATCATCAAAAAAAGAATCCGCCTTTATTTCAACAGCACGCGCATATTTATTAACCAGAGGTTTGATGCTTCTTTCCCATTTTGATCGACGAATAGTATTTTGCCTTTCTTCGGCAGATGGTTCCATCTGAAGGAATAAACATTAAAAATTATTAATCAAAGCCGATGTGATAGTTAATGTAATACATACTTCCTCCCAGAACTTTCTCATTCTTTTCTTATCGCCATCAGAAAAAACGGTATTTACTGGGTCAACTAAATTTTTTTCGGAGAGGTTGACCATGTGATGTTTGAAAAGACGGCAATTCACATTTTCCATTTTTATAATAAGGTGTTGAATTTCGTCTGATACCTCCTCACTTTCAAAGGGGAAATTTTGAATGACAGCTGACAATTCCTCTTCGATGGATAGTTCTTCTTCGGTTAATGATTCCTCTTCGTTTGATGATTCCTCTTCGGTTGATGGTCCCTCTTCGGCTGATGATCCCTCTTCGATGGATGATTCTTCTTCGGCTGATGGTTCATCTTCGGTCGATGATTCATCTTCGGTTGATGGCTTCTCTTCGGTCGATGACTCCTCTTCGGTTGATGACTCCTCTTCGGCTGATGACTCCTCTTCGGCTGATGACTCCTCTTCAGTTGATGACTCCTTGCTTTCGTCATCAATGTATAAATCTTTATTAGAAAAATCGGTGTCGTTGATATTAGACTGAAGTTGCATTTTGATGGGAAAGTTCTCGGCTGTACTCTTCAATTTCTTTTTTGGTTTATCATCATAAAGTTTCATAATTTCATCTCCTTGAATGGCTGTAGACTTATCAAAAATTTCGACTGAACATAAATCGACCTTTCTTTTGACTCGGTTCTATTAACCGAAATAAGTGTATTGTCAGTCAAATTCTTCATAAACGCAAAACTAATTAATTCCCTTACCCGTTTCTCCTCAATCAGTCTTGAGCAAAGCTCATTCTCAATTTGCAGCCGTAAAACTCTGTTCGCTCTTTCATTTTTCAACTGTGATAAAAAAAAATAAAAAAGAAAATAAAAGAAATACCATAAGAATCTATTTCATGAAGTCATTAATGGCATAGGGTGATAGAAGGTGGGGAACGTCACCCCATACTCCGTGTTTTACGAGAACGTCACTCGCCGAAGCTCCTTCAAAATCGCCCTATACTCAGGACGAAGGGGGAAACGCCACCCCATGATCCATGGATACACCGTACTCTTACGGCGCTGGAGTTCCCACGCCCTTGTAGGAACGTCACCTGCTTTCTTTGCATTATAACATCACCTTTTCAATAATCTTTCTATCAAATATCATTTCCTGCGCAATTAACATAAATTGTTTCTTCCACCTGGCGTTTTGTTTTGACCATGGTTTGTCGTCAGAATGCTCAACTACTAACGTTTTATTTTTGTACAGGAAATGGTTATAGGATATTTTTGCAAGACGTGTTTTCCTGAAATATGCCCTGATTCCTATTTATAGTAAGCAGATTTATTGAGATAGGCAAGAAAGTCGGAACTCAGATATGATTGTTGAGACCTACCTTCTTCGAAAGACATTTTGCTTTAAAAAAAAAAATGACGCGAAGACGCGAATCCTACACAATGTAGCCAATCAAATTTTTAGTACTATTAACAATTGCTGTAGTCACGTGTATGACGCGTATATTGTGTTTATCATGTGATTAAAGACACTATATATGGTATATCCGATTAAATTGTATCAGCCAATCAGATGCCAGATGACATTGTACTATCAGAAATTTAGGATTAAAATTTCTTAAAAAAATAATTTCTATTTTTATCAGTCTTTAATAGAGAAAGTATATTTTAGTTTATTTAAATTTTAATATTACTAAAAAATTATAACCTTTTTCTACTGATTCTCTACCCATATACAAAAAAGATGTTTATAAGAAAATTTTTATTTCTTTGCTAATAAAGTCTTAGTCTTATTACTATCTTCAAATCAACTTGAAATTTACTTCAAGAAATATTTCTAAAATCTCTTTTTTGTTTATATTTATTTTCAAACAAAAACTTGACTTTTGTGATCTAGAAAAATCAATAAATACCTTCTTTACCTATAATAAGAAAATTTTGCAAGGAAGAAAAACTAATAGTATAATATTTAAAATCTTTTATATTGAAGCATATCTATAGAGATTTCTAGTAATAGAAAATAACAAACATCAAGTCATATTTTTAAAATGTTTACCTATTGTATCTTTTCTTTTATAGTTATTCAAAATTTTTGAGTTTTTTGAATAATTTTACTTATCTTAGTTTAATCTTGAATTTTAAGTAATAATCTATTGCAAAATATAATTAGTGGATATAAAATACATTAGTAGATAAATATAAACAAGTATTTACTGATTATTTTATATATTCTGATAACATTGTAATCAAATTTATATTTGACTGGTGTGTCTAAGTAAAATTGCTTTTAAAAGGACAATTCTCAAAGAAAGAATTAAAGAAATAGTTTATAATAATTAAAGAAATATTC